CTATATGTGCAATCAGGAGCAGGTGTGCGTGAAAATAAAGGAGCTGCGGCAGGCCTATTCCAGGGCCACAGGGGACAGTTCCCAACCAGGGGCAGACACAGACCCCTTCCGCTATTATGACACCCTGGACCGCATCCTAGGGGGCCGGATGGCCCATGCCCTCGAGGTGGTCATTGACCCTGGGGCAGAGGGCCCTGACCAGGACATGGAAGAGGACTATGGCCAGGAGTCGTAGGAGCCTGGAGGGAGCGTGACACTCACCCAGGACCCCCGAGGCATCACAGTAGCCATATCACCGCTGTCTTCCAAGGCCAGGGAGATATTAGATATTTCAAAATAATGCTGTAGTGTAGACATACCCAAAGGACTTAAAGAGTTTTTATTCTATGGCTTTTCTGCAGTCCTGTCAACTGAAATCAGCTTAGACCAGAGGTTCTGAAACTGCAGGTGGTTACCCCATTGCAATGGAACTATCAGGGCTGGCATTAGACTTGCTGGGGCATCCTGAACTGTAGCCTGAGCCCCCCTGCCTGAGACTGAAGCCCGAGGGTTTTAGCCCTGGGCAGCAGGGTTCAGGCTACAGGCCCCCATCATCCAGGACTGGTTGGCCCATCCACTTAGGGCTGAAGCCTTCAGGTTTCAGCTTTAGTCCAGCAGTGAAAGTAGCTTAAAATTTCTTACAGGTACTGTCCTATTGCAACCAGGGTCCCTGTCAGCTCTTTAAATAGCCACACGTACTGGATTTTGCCACAGCTCAGCCAGCTCTTGTTGGAGCTGCGCACCAGGGTGCACCTACTTACTTTCACTTCTGCTTTAGTTCCTCCACCTGGTGTTGAAGCCCTCAGGCTACATCTTTGGCCCCCTTCGCCATGAGTGTGTCTAGACTACAGGGTTTTGTCGACAAAAGTGGACTTTTGTCAACAAAACTATACCTGCATCTACACTACTGCAGAGTTCTGTCGACATAACGCCGACAGAACTCTGCAGTTTTGTTGACAGCGGTAAACCTCATTCTACGAGGAATAACACCTTTTGTCGACAGAGTTCTGTCGACAGAAGGCGTTATTGCATCTACACTGTCCTTTGTCGACATAAGAGTGTAGATGCAAAGTGGCTTGCTTTGTCGATAGAACTAGATGTAGTCTAGATGCTCTTTGTCAACAGAAGCTTTGTCGACAGCCTGTAGTCTAGATGTACCCCATGTGTGATGGGGGTCTTGTGGGCTCAGGCTTCAGTCCCCCTCTTCGGGCCATGTAGTAATTTTTGTGGAAGAGGCAGTTGCAGTACAATGAAGTTTTAGACCCCCTGTGCTATATAAATAATGTATCTAAATACAATATTAGCCTTATATTGTACTTCTCTAATACACTCATAAAAACCTCTCAACTGGATTATTGTCTTCATTGATTAAAAAACCCCTCCTCCAGGTAAATGTATCTGTAATTAAAATACAGAGATGTATGCTCATGACTTGAATTTCTGTTCATAATAATTGGGATGTTAGTAATGTCAGTCATAATTGAGATGACCTGTGTAACCTATGCAAATGTTTCCAAATTTCCAGCAATATAATTAGCCAAAATAAGTTAGTTGTTACTATTCTTGACCATTTCAGCTCATTGAAAGCAACATAATAGAATGCAGTTGCACAAACTGTACATTGCCTAATAGTGAATATTGGAAGTTTTAGAGGATATTTTTCCACATTAATGCATCTTTATCTCTCTCTGTTTCTCTCTTGGCCTGATTGCTCATTGAATGCGGAGAAGGCAATAACACCTTATATACTGAAGCAAAGTAGGTGTCCCATCTTTCTCAGTAGTCTGCCTTTGGAAGTTACCTATTTCACATTGTTGGGGAGGAGGTGTATGGGAATAAAGATCCAGATATCCAAATCCATCTTTAGAATATTCAGTTTGTACCCTAAAGCATGAAAATGTCCCCTGTAATATTTTTAACTAACAAATATCAATGCAAATGTTATTCCTCTACAGCTAACAAGAGCATAACAAGTGGAGTTACGCAGGGGTCTTTGGAGACCAGTTCTGTTCAATATCTTCATCAACAAGTTAGATATTGGAATGGAGAAGTACGCTTATTAAGTTTGCAGATAATACCAAGCTGGGAGGGGTTTCAAGTGCTTTAGAGGAAAGGGTCATAATTCAAAATGATCTGGGCAAACTAGATAAATGGTCTCAGGTAAAAAGGATGAAGTTTAATAAGGACAAATGCAAAGTATTCCACTTAGGAAGGAACAGTTTCACACATACAGAATGGGAAGTGATTGTCTAGGAAGGAGTACTGCAGAAAGGGATTTAGGGTCATAGTGGATGACAGGTTAAATATGAGTCAACAGTCTGACACTGTTGCAAAAAAAGCAAACATGATTCTGGGATGCATTAACAGGAGTGTCTTGCTCACAACACAAGAAGTAATTCTTCTGCTCTACTCTGCACTGATTAGGCCTCAACTGAAGTATTGTGTTCCGTTCTAGGCACCATATTTCAAGAAAGATGTGGAGAAATTGGAGAAGGTCCAGAGAAAAGCAACAAAAATGATTAAAGATCTAGAATATATGAGCTGTGAAGGAAGACTGGAAGAATTGGGCTTGTTTAGTTTAGAAAAGAGCAGACTGAGAGGGGATATGATAGAGGTTTTCAGTTATCTAAAAGGGTGTTACAAGAAGAAGGGAGAAAAATTGTTCTCCCTGGCCTTTGAGGATAGGACAAGAAGAAATGGGCTTAAATTGCAGCAAGGGAGGTTTAGGTTGGACATTAGGAAAAACTCCTAATTGTCAGGATGGTTAAACACTGGAATAAATTGCTTGGGGGGTTGTGGAATCTCCATCTCTGGAAATATTTAAGAGCAGGTTAGACAGACACCTGTCAGGGGATGATCTACATGATACTTGGTCCTGCCAAGAGCAGGTTAGACAGACACCGGTTAGGGAACTGGACTCAATGACCTCTCGAGGTCCTTTCCAGTTCTATGATTCTATGATAAATTTGTTGACCGCCCTGTTATGCCTTGTGGGATGAGGTTTACCGAGGCAGTCGACAAATGCCTTTGATGTCGACCGCGGAGCATCCAGACTAGTGCGCTGAGCCGACAAACAGCTGATCAGCTCAGTGCGGCAGCCATTTTAATTTAAATGAAGTGGCGATTATTTAAATCGACGCTTCATTTGGATATGTCTAGTAAACTAATCTACATGGCTCTGGCGACAGAGCCATGTAGTCTAGACATACCCTAAATGTTTCTTTTCTACACTCAGACTCTGCGCTTGCAAGTGGGGAAGCATTGCCTCTGAGAGGCGCCCATGGGTGTGTGACTTTCCCAGGCTACTGGGTGGGGCCTTGAGCCAGTTCTGTGTGAGATGGACCCCTAGATATTGAATCCGGCCCTGGTTGCTGCCGGGCCTACCTGGAAGAAGGGTTACAAACAGGTAGATAAGCAGCATTATCACTATTTTATGTATGGGGAAACTTGGACTTGGGTAAGGAAAACAGTTTTATATGCAGGTGCCTAGAGAGTTTGGCAGCTAATAGTTCTGGCCCAAGCCATTCTGACATGCTGACTGAGGTAAAGATGGCACCATGATTAGAGCAAACCCTTAACTCTGCAGACCCTAGAAAGATACACAGGCCACAGGAGCTACATTACAGCAGTTCAGGTTACTGCTGCTGGGATAGTGGTAGAGAAAATGGAGAGAGAGTAGTGTAAGGATATAGCTCTCCCCAAAACAGTTCTAGCTGGAAGGAGACACCCACATTAGAGCTGCCTCTAAAAAATGTATCATCCACACTGCATATACCCCCTCACACTTGATCATGGCACACAAATCTTTATTTAGAGATATAAACAAGTGGCCTGACATTTGGAGAAGCTGAGTACATGCCACTCCTATTGATTTCAGTGGGTACTCAAGTACTGTACCAAGTTAAAGATTTTGGCCTACGTGTCTTGCTGGAGAACAGCAAGCAGTGAGTTGTTGCGGCTGGAACTCTGAAGTTGCTGGCACTCACTCTCTGGTGCACTCCAGGAGACTAGTTGCTATCTAGTTCAAATCCATGAATAATTGAGCAAGCAAATCTACCTGCCACCAGATACATTGTATATTACTGCTGCCTTCATTTTTACACAATTGGATTTTAAAACTGTCCCGTTTTAAAATAAATACATTGGCTGAAGTAACCAGGAATCCCTCTCTCCCTCACTCCCAATTTGGTTGCCTTTCAAAGCTGTGCTTTCAAGCTCCTCCTGGAAAGCATATGATTTTGGTTTCAGATGTCCAGCTATTTCAGCAGTTCTCAAATTATGGGTTGGGACCCCAGAGTGGGCTTTGACACCATTTTAATGGGGTTTCCAGGGCTGGCTTAGATTTGGTGTGGCCTGCGACTACAGCTGAATCTCGAGCTCTGCTGGGGCTGAAATCCTTGGATTTCAGTCTTGGCCCCCTACAAGGGAGTGGTAGGGCTTGGGCCCTTTTACTCTGGGCCACGGAACTCAGGTTTCAGTTCTTCTTCCTGAGGCCAAGTAATAATTTTTATTGTCAGAAGGGTGCTGTGGTACAATGAAGTTCAAAACCCCTAAGCTATTGCATCCACAGAGTGATGTCAGTGGGAGTGCCACATGTGCAGTGGCTGTAGGATGAGACTCTCCATTAACAAAGATACAAAGTATTTCCACGGTCAAGCATGTCCTATGCCCTTTTACATCCATCATGTACTGAAGCACTGTAAGTTTGGGAAAGAATGACAATTAAGCAGTTCTGCTGGTCAAAATCTGAGCAGAGTGTGAGGAGGGGGATAGTCTTTTTACATGGTTTTTATTCTATGCTCAATTCAAGAAGTCAAAAGTTTTATGACGATTTATATTTAAGTTTGCAGCACTGCCGTTGGCCAATTTGTCAGTTTCTTTTTTAAAATTACATAATAAAGTAGAAAAATCTGAGAAGTTGAACTAGAAAAATCTAGTTGACCTCAGTTTTTCTTACTTACCAGACTTGCTGGGAGTAATCCAGCAGGCACCTTTTCAGATGTGACCCTCCTACAAAAAAGATTCTATATATAGTTTTGGAAAGTGAAATTGCAGAGCATATATATTTGCATAAGCATGCACACAGAAGTAAGCTACAGTGAACATCTGGTATGTTCTCAGCCTATATTGTGCTGGAAAAGGCAGGGTTGGGCTGGAAGTACTTCCTTACCACAGGCCAAAAGAACCAGTTTCCCTTTGGGAGTGGAGGTTGGCAACTTCAGAAGTAATCACTTGACTCTGTTAATTGAAATGTCCTATATAAGCCTAGAACTCTGAGAAATAGTATATACATAAAATTAAACTGGTATTTCTACTGATGTCTGCTTATGGGACAGACACTGAAAGGCCCTAAGAATTTCAGACGTTTGAAGGGGCTAAAACTGGGATTCGGAGCTGTCCGATTTAAGAAGGGGGGACTATTTGCAAACTTCAGACCCAGATCTAGGTGAGGATTTTTGCTACCATCAAAAGTTGGCTCGGTAGGTCACATCTTGAGACCCTAATCTCATTCCAAGAAGCTTCTGCAATGGTGCTTGGCAATGTCAGCAGGGCAGAAAGGTGATGTCTGTGGGGGTTAATGCTAATGCGCGGCTTGGGACAAAAACAAAGGCTCTTTGTTAATAAGGAAAAATGCAGTTTGGAGAGAAGTGAGTATAAATGTGGGGCAGCTCACGGCAGCTCCTACCCCTTTGCGGCTCCCCTCCCCCCAGCCACGCAACAGCACCTTACCCAAGTGCAACCAGGAAAAAGAGCTGCAGGCCGGCCCGCCGTCCTATCGGGCCAAGCGCGCTCCCATGCTGTCGCGTGTGCTGAGCGGGGCTCGCCCCGGGGTGCCCCGGAAGGGAAGGCGGACTCAGCGCTGAGGCGGGGGGCTCGGTGTGTGTCGTTGCACGGTGGCCAGCGGCCGGCAGGGGGCGGTATTGCCACACAGCTGGGCCCCCGCTGCACGGCAAACCCGGAGAGCAGGAGCTGGGCTGCTGCTCTTTCCTATTTGCCGCGAGCGGCTTGTCTCGCTCTGCCCCGCAGGAAGAGACACAAGGGGAGAAGGGGGAGGTAAATCCCCCCCCTCCCTGCTGTAGGGCAGCAGCTGGGCCCGCATCTCGGGGGCGGCCCAGAGTGTCAGTAATGGGGCAGCCAAGTGCAGCTGGGTTTCCCC